CCTGGTTAAGACAGTCGGGGTCGGGCAGGGTCTGGGTCGGGCAGGGGCAGGGCCTGTGTCGCAGGTCAGGGTCCGGGCAGGGCCGGGGTAGCAGTCCGGGGTCCGGGCAGGGCTGGGATTCCGGCAGGAGCGTGGTCTGGAGTCCGGGCAGGACAGGGCAGGGTCTGGGCCCCACCGCGGGTCCGGCCCGCACTGCGACGGCCTCGCCCGGGCCTCCGCCCCGGAGGCCGGGGCCGCGGCCGGCCTGGCCGGGAGGGGGCAGGGTCATTCGGACCAGGAAGTGGGGATCCTGTTGCTCGGTGTGTGTTTGGGAAACTCCGGTTCTCTCGATAGGTTTGAGCAGAGGCAGATTGTGAAGGAACTAGAGGGGGGAAAAAAATCAGATCTTCATATATCCGGTGTTCGAAATAGGGCCAGGAGACACGGTGGAGAAAGGGACAGGTCAGGAATCTCTTACTCACCTGCTTCTCCGTCTTGTCCAATCAGAATGTAAACTTTGAAGAGTTAAGACTTCAGTGTAACTTTGTTTTGCAATTCTTTGTGCAGCTAATATTACTTTCCCCCTCTTTATTTTTTTCTTTTGTGAAATGGTCTTTAATATGGGTGACATGAAACTTGAGGAAATTATCTGTAGGGTAGCTCTTAGGATTTCGAGAGCCCCTCCCGGCTGTACTGTAACTTGTCCCAATCTTAAGTGAAAGTTTGAAGTTTTGGATAACTGAAAGAATGGAAGTATTTTTCTGGACTGGGAAATTAGATTTTAAGTGTGAGGGTGTTTTAAAAAGATAATGCCAACTTGAAGACGAATATTGTTAAGCCTACAGGTTATTTTCCTTTTTGAAAGTTTTTTCTCTTTTGATATTTAGTTGGTCTCTTAAGTTGTATTAAGTATTTAAAAGACACTTGAAATAGGTGCTGAGTTATAGTTTGCAAAGACCAAGGGGAGGGGTTGGGAAAGAGTGATGTTCACTTCTCTGGGGTGGTCAGGTAGTATGTGCAATGTGCAATTTCCATGCTTCCCCACCTGCCCGGCTCCCTCTAATTTACAGTCCCAGTAATTTACAGAAGTTGAAATGGTTATGGCTTTTCGACTTTCCTCTGTGTTTAATATACTGAAAAGCAGTTTTATAATCAATAATCAAGCTATAAAGAAATCGCTTGAGTTGCTTAAAAAGTGAAATAATTTATGAAAGGCATCAGATTAGCAAGTTTATTATTATTCAACCATAAATTTGACTTGTGTACTTCCCTTTGAAACTTCTGTTTGGTTAGAAATAAGTTTCATCCTGTATTTTGAAAAGTTAATGTGAGATGCCTTATTTACATGAAATAATGGCATGGCTTCTTATTGATTAGAAATTACCCTCTCGGGACTTCACTTTTTCATCTCTAAAGGGAATGGATGACAACATCAGCCTCATATGGCTGTTGTAACACATTGGTGTTGGATGATTTTACTATATATTTTTTTAAAGCATGTACCAGTTTTTTTTAAATATATTTTTTATTGATTTCAGAGAGGAAGGGAGAGGGAAAGATAAAAACATCAATGATGAGAGAGAATCATTGATCAGCTGTCCCCTGCTCACCCCTCCTGGGGATGAGCCCTTGACAGGACTCGAACCTGGGACCCTTCAGTCCACAGGCCAATGCTCTATCCACTGAGCCAAACCAGCTAGGGCTTTTTTTCTTTTTAATTATTGAGATTGTTATCAAGAAATTTGAAAATGGTGCTTACCTTATTACTATTTTCAATATCCTTTCTGTGATTGACAATTTTTATTAACAGATTTTTTTAAAAAATTAATCACATGTATCTGGGCAGAGAAATCAGGTTCTGAGGACAGAATGCATATTTGGAGAAAGGAGTCATAGTCATACTATACTAGTATTTGAGTAGGAGCCAGAGAGAAAATAGGTGATAATGTGGGTACAAAAGTTTTTAACACTCATTTTAACATGTTTTGTAGAAGAGTAGCTGAAATTAAATGACAGCACATTCAGGGAGAACTTTGATTTTTTGTAATGTTCCTAGGGATTGAGTTTTTAAAAAATACTGAGATTTGGAGATTTTATTGAACTTAATATGATTTCCAAAAATAAGCACATTTTGACAAATATATAGTTAAACTGTGGAAACAAATATTTTACTCAGTCATTTGTATTTTTTGAAGCAATCTTCATATGTCATAAAACAATTCTAAAATATTTAAGGGCAAGTTGGAACATCATGTTGTTAGTGTTAATAACAATAAACAGTGCCTGCATGTACCTGGGTTGCGGGCACATCCCCTGTTTCTCTCTCATCGATGTTTCTAGCTCTCTATCTCTCTCCCTTCCTCTCTGTAAAAAATCAATAAAATATATTTAAATAAATAAATAAATAAACAGTGCCTGCAAATAGCCCCACTACTCTAAATGGATTTGCAACAATATTTACAAGTTTTTGTAGTGATAGACCTGTGTGGTTGGTGTTGCTAACCAAGAAGTGGCTGAGAACCTCCTTATTTCTGTGTCATGCTGGAGTTCATGCTTTTTGTATGATAACTAGGATTATAATCTAGGTCTAATTTACTAACATGTGTTGTCTTTATGATGCTTCTGTGAGATTGCAAAAAGCTGTATAGATATGTTAGTTTAAATCCATTTGCTGTTGTTCTAATGTTAAAGGCACAAGTTTTAAGTATGCTTTCATTAACACATGCTTGTACTCTTGCAGAGTTCTCATGCTTAAGGACTTTCTTTTTCAGATTGATAAATCAAGAAAATCTCAGAGTATATTCTTGTAATTCTTTCTGTAAGACTATTTACTCAACCTTTTACTAATGGAGAAAAGAAAACAGTGATGTTGTGTTTATGGAAATACATTGTTAAAAAACAGACACTGCTGCAGGAATTTTTTTGTTTATGCTCTTTTGTAAAACTTTATTCCTGTAAAGAGTTCTCCTTTTTCTGTGAAAGCTAATTTTAGAGTACACAGTGAATGAGGCACTGCCTTCTAAAAGGGTTAAACTCAACAGATAAAGATGTTAGTTTAGTCTAGTTCATTTTAAACTTTTTGCTCTTAATTGTTGTATTGGCTGATGATTTTGGAACTACTCTACTTCTGGAATTATCATGATTAGAAAGTGAATTTTTTTATTGGCATATGGAATTGTAAGGTAGAAGCCATTAGGTTCTCTTATTAGAAGAAGGAAGATAATTCCTAGTGTTCTAACAATTTATTCTTTTGAGTATGAATGTCTTCCTTAGAAACAGGAAGCCATTTACTTAGCTTATGTTTCCTTTCCCCCTCACTCAAGCTCCATACTTTTTATCCCTTCAATGTCTTTATAAACACTGTCTTTTCACAATTTTTATGGTGAAGTTGTCATGGCTTCTGTTTAATCATGAAGGGCTACAGGTGAATGATGCCACCACTTTTGTGCCTCTGTCAGGGTCCGTGAGGTCCAAAAGGTTGGCGACCGCTGGGTTGGAGTGTCATCCTGACATGCCAGGGTTGCGGGTTCGATCACTGGTCAGGGCACATACAAGAAGCAACCAATGAATGCATAATTAAGTGGAACAACAAATCAATCTTTCTCTTTTTCTTTCTCTCCCTCTCTCTCTAAAACCAATCAATCAATCAAATAAAAGAGGTGTATCCTGATTATTAGGACCTTTAAAAAAAACTCCTTAGTGACTGTCTCCTGCCTAAATAAGAAGTGCTGCCCTAACTGGTTTGGCTCAGTGGATAAAGCGTCAGCCTCAGGACTGAAGGGTCCCAGGTTTGATTCTGGTCAAGGGCACATGCGGGCTCCATCCCTGGTAGGGGCCGTGCAGGAGGCAGCCAGTCAGTGATTCTCTCTCATCATTGATGTTTCTCTCTCTCCCTCTCCCTTCCTCTCTGAAGTCAATAAAAAATATATTTTTTAAAAACAAAAACAAAATTCAGCCCGGCCAGTGTGGCTCAGTGGTTGAGCATTGACCCATGAATCAGGAGGTCAGAGCTCAATTCCCAGTCAGGGCACATGCTGGGGATACTGCCTCTATCCCCAGTAGGGAGTGTGCAGGAGGCAGCTGATCATGATTCTCTATCATCATTGATATTTCTGTCTCTCTTCCCC